CCGTTTCCGTTCTTCCTTCTTCAGCCCTTTCCTGGATTTCATTCTGATTCTGTATCTCTTTGGACTTCTGATGGCTATTTGTGCTCTTCTTTACGACATCAGTTACCAGTTTCCTTGGTTTTTTACGGCTTCTAACGGTGCTAAATTGTGCCATCAGTTCCTCTTCTGACGACAGTTCAGGTCCTGTTTTTCCTGCCACCCTCTTCTTTTGTGTAACCGTCTTATTGTTTATCTCTGCATAATCCACATCCTCCATCACCACTTCTTCCCCTGCTTCGTCGTGTATTCCTACCTCTTCCATTGTTTCTGCTTCCATTTCTAGGCCACTCATTTTATGTTGTGAGAGTCCCCGGTCGGAAGCACGTGTGCTTCCGGCCGTTGTGTTTTTGCTCGAACCCCGCACTGTACGTACTCGTAACTCGCGATACGGAAACCAAAACTAATTCTGCAATATACGGAATCTTACTACTGTTGTCTAACACCACCGTATTAGAGTAAAATCCGCACTTTCTTCACAAAAAACGAACGTAATAACACTTAACCTCACTAGCGTTCCACTTGCCACACTGATGTGAGGATGTGTGAGGAGACACCTAGCGGTATTTCGATGTACTCATAACCATTCGCGGGCAAAATTCAAATTTCGGAAACTTTTGGATTGCCCCACGTACACCCAAACCTCATAAAATCAGTAATGCTAACATGACAGATGCGTGAACTTGTGAGGAGGGAGTGCCACTTCATATAGGATCATCAAATTATGTACAGTAATGCGTCTTTGAAAAATATGCAACGTTTGTTAAAGGTTTTGTGGGTGTGTGTGAAATATGAGACAACAAAAATGATAGCTGCATGATTTTTACATTTACCTTTTGGTTTGACAGTGATAACTAAAAAAATGCTGGAATTAGGCATATGAAACCTGGCATGGAGTTACATCATCCATATACCTATGAAATGTGTATTAAATAAATACTGTTTCTATGTCAACAATTAATAACATGATGATGGTGTGTATCTGTGATGTTATACCTGTAACAGCTACAAGCATTTAGAGTGCAGAGATATAAAGAATGCATACAGGAACTCTGTGTATTCTAGTACAGATGACATGTATGTCTGTCCAGTCATGGTAGCAGGGTAACCATGGTAATGCCGTGTGATGAACAAAAAGTTGTAACAAACCTATTGTCATCTGCTTCTCTTCCTCCGAGATCTGGGCGTTCAGTTGGAGAACACCAAAGGAGGAAGTTGTGTTTCATAAGATGGCGGGCATAGAAGAGATCGGCAGCAAAAATGGTTGGGTCAGCTGGAAGATTTCCTAGAGGAACATGGAAGTAGCGAGCCTGCTCTGCAGTGAGTTCAAGTATAGTCTCACTGTTTAGGTAATGTCGCAACATGTTGCGAGCCCCAGTTCGCTGCCAGTTTAGGTCCCAGACACCTTCAGCGTCCTGAACATGAACTGGAACAAGAGGGAGTTCTCCCAGACCAGGCATCAGGGAACTCAGTGTCTGCAAATCTGCCAAAATGAAACAAAATAATGTGAAGTAATCTAAAAAACAGAAATTTGTATGATCACTTCTGTTTATAAAGAAATGCATTTTACATGTCAAGAAGCTTTTACTAGGAATGTATGCATATATTTTTCTTTCTAAGATCCCTATCAATCTTTGGTGCTTCCTACAAGCCACTGCTAAATACAGTAGAAATATGCCTCCAAATCACAACCAAGACTTCCTGCTTCATTGTAAGTAAGGAAAGGTAAAGTTGTCCCTGTGCTTAATTAACCTTTATCCTACGGCCCTTTAAACTTAGGTTGTGGCAACGGTACGGAGTTCTTTAAATGGCCGCTATTTGAGATTCGTGAAAATTGTAGTCACTTACTAATTTTGCTCCTATTTCTGCTATTTCTGTGATAATCGAACGAAATAAACGCTGTTTTTTTCTCGAAAGAATATAGAATCAGATATTGTAATTTACAGATTGTATAAAACATGTTAAAATTTTTGCACTGACACCAAAGGAGAATTTTCGCAATTTCTTGTTTCTGAGCAAGAATTCATACGTTCTGGACACCCCTGAATGGAAGTTGCTGATGACGACACTTGTGCATGTCACGGTAACACCGGATGTTGAGTCTAGAGACGTTATCGCAGTCTNGTTTAAAGGTTAATTAAGCACTATCCCCTCAAGAATTATGAGGGCATGGAAGTATAGTTCACCATTCTTGACCTTGGCTCTAGATAGAGGTGCACTGTAGGTCGTAACAATTTTTTGAGATCCTCAACACAATTTCCTTCATCTACTACCACAGCTGCCCTTGGTGTGTCCTTGCTCTCCATACATATTCTCACTTGCATGGTCTCTTTGCCCTTCAGATATATTTGCATAAGAGTAACTTTCCTATTTTCCACAAAACATTAAGCTGAACCAGGTTATCCTAATATATACACAATTACAATTTCAATTTCAAGCGCTCTCAAATTCAACAACTCTGTTATTTGAGAAACTGTAATTTTCTGAGTACAGAATTTACTCGCTTATAGTACAGCTTTTGGCACTTCAGCAAAATCTACTTACCAAGAGGTGATTGTACAGACAGTAATGTCGGTCCTTTCTTTTCATCCCTGTAGTCTTGCAGAGCCCTCTGAATGAGTCTGTATACTTGTCGAGCATCTGTCTCAACTCTGACTTCAAATGTAAGGTTTTTCGGAGGAAGCGAATCTTCAGATTTCCCCCTTTTTATCCTGTGCACAAGAAAACACACTTTCATGGTAGTTACACATGGCCAATAAACACAACAGGTACATTATGGACTTTAATTTGCCTGGTAGATCTGGTAGATAGAGATATTTTCGATGACAGGCCATGATAAAAAATTCTCATGTTAATCATGCTCCAAAACATTTTATAGTGGAATTCTGAAAATATGTCCACAAATAGCAGTAAAGTAAGGAATCTCAACATTCCTTAATCAAAGACAGACTGATCTGGAAGACCAATGTACGGGAAAATAAACTATAAAAATATTTACTAATTACTGGTTATGGGGCCACAATAAGTACTGAATCACAACTGCATATGAGTCAGAATAAGACAGAAATCCGTAATCTGCATGAAAAGAAACATGCCAAGTTGAGTGTCTCCCTTGTCAATGGCACATATCCATGGGTTGTGGAAGGAAGAGACAGCCTCTGGATATGGAGGAACTACAAATATAATGAACAAGCAATCACAGACAAGAAACAAGAGTAGTACTCCAACTTGGCAGTTGAGCACAGGGTTTATATAACCACCTCCATCAAGAAGTGTTGTGTTATGAAACTTTTACTGATGGGCTGGGTACCTGACTAGAATGGGGGAAATGAGGAATACAGACATTTTTGTAGAGAACATCCATTTGGAAGATGGAGTTGGAGATTCAAATATTACAGCCTTAATACTGACAGTCATTAAATAACTAACTTAAAAAAATGAGATGGCAGGATAATATTATGCTCGATCTTAGGGGGTTGTGAGGATGGGAGGTGGGTGGTACTAATTCTGAATCATGTCCCATTTCAGGCTTTGGAAATGGTAGTTTTCAACTATTTTAGCTTCTCTAACACAGTATTTGTTAGTTACAATGACAAGATATGAGAATGAATGGAACATAAAAAAATGTGCTCATTAAGGATGAACATATTGTGACATGACAGCACTACAAAGGGGTACCACATGCAGTAGCCATGAGGGAACAGGCTTCCCACATTCTACAGGAAGCCCCCAAAGGTGCGATGCATGAGGAAACAATGAGAGCAACTAAACCTGGTTGCAGGGTGCTGCAATCAACTGCAAAAAGGAACCTGAATCATTGGTAAGCCCCTGTAGGAGACTGCCACTGCCATTGGACAGTTGACCAACCATGCCTTTTCTGCACAACATGAGAACCGTGTTTGTAGTGGATCAGGCAAGGCATTCAACAATGGTAGAAGAGACATGCAGTAAAATGACAGCTACACCTGGAAAGCAAGACACTCAATGAAGCCCTCAGGAAGATCCTACAGCTGGAAGTCATAAAACTAACAGTCGAGTCTTCCATCAGCCTGTGGAAAAGGAGTGTCAGAACAATGGGGAGAGACCAGCCTCCTCCCAAATGGAAGTAAAGATTACCAACACCTTCCTTATGCACTGGTGCTGTAGGAGCACCTGCCACCGTCAGAAGTTCTGGCCCCATAAACCATAAATTTAAATGGTAATATACCAACAGGATACTTGGGATGAGCAGCCTTAAGGAGCAAGTCATGTCTCATGGCAGCTGAAAGATCAGAATATTGGAGCCACAAGAGATGGCCGTTGCTAGGGAACAGCCAATAAACATGTTTCTGTGGCAATGAACATTTGACGCCACAATACAGAGCTGCTGGAAACAGTGTTTCCTATTGGGTCTGCTCCAAAGCTATACAACAAGCACAAATTAGACAACATATCCAGTCAAGAATGTGTGGACATTTCAAGACATGGGCTAGGTGTAAGACAGTCACGACATGAGCAGAAGAGGACAATGCTGGGATCTGTTACGAGGCAACAGCTGGTGAGAAGTAGTGAGAAGCTCAGTGTGTAGACTAGTGACAGCACTATACGTACTTGTAGTTATGATTTGTAAGAGTTCAGTAAATCCAATTACCAAACTAAACCAAACCAAACCCCATCACTAGTCACTATCATGTGACAACATCATAAACTTTGTCATTCATAAGCATGAATCTTTGTACTCTCTTAGTTAATACTGTATACCTTTGAAGCCTCACACAGAATTTGTTCACCTTTTCCAAAGAGCATTTAAGGCTAGCAAACAAAGCCTACACAAGCTACTATCAGCTTGATAAGCATGTCATAAATATTTCACACTACTGAAAGGACAACAGCAATCAGTACTGTTCATTTTAGATATATACAATTTTCTATAGCTTATAAATGTAATAAAACTTACTTTTCACTGCGTTCATTGCTGTACAGATTTGCCATATTGGGCATCTGGTTGGTGCGAACTGTATCCAACACAAACACAACAACACGCCTGCTTGGTGTCAGGAACAGACCAAACATGGCACGCTGTCCAGTAGGAGCTCGACTGTGATAGAGATACAAATGCTGGAGTATTCCAGCCTGTGGCTGTAGGTACGGATGGTGTGCCAGACTGCGAAACTGGAGCTGGTGCATGGAGAATGTATCAGTACCATCCCGTAAGCCTACTGCTGCCAATCGTCGAGCTTCATTGCGTTCAACAGTGCATACACAACCAAGATGAAGCAGGGCACGAAACTCCAGTGATACTTGAGTTTCATATATGCCTTCTATGTCAGGCATTGACAAGTCTGCAGTCAGCTCCCTTCAGGCATGAAAACAAATTAACTATGTGAATTGTACAATCTTATAAAACCTCATTCTTATATAGCTACATAATTTAGACTTTTCCTGTATAATCTGCTGCAAACACTCAAAAATCTGTGTCATGGCTCTGTAATAAAATAATTACGTATTTTATGAAAGAAATGTGTTCTTTGTAAATTATCTGTCAAAAGAAAATTCTTTAAATGAAAGTGAATTTCCATTTATTGTAAACAATGTAATGTATGTAACTTATCTTTGTGTAAACTTTAATGAACAATCCTATAGAAATAATCCATGCACTCTGGAAGCTTAAAAGATCAAATCCAAAATGTCATTCTTGACATCATAGAAAGTGAGCAGCTTGTGTCATATAATTCATCATGTTGGTGTGAAATCTGTGCGTGGATGTTTGACAACACCACTTTCATCTGTCACTGTAACACCATGTAGTTAAATGGTTTAAGTGAAGACATGGACAGAATCTTCAATTACTCTACAGTCTACATACAGTGTGATTTTCTTAGACAAGAGAAGCGAAACTCCAGGAACATCTTGCTAAAACATACAGTGTACTAAGGCCACAAAGAAATGCTATCACCCCTATGTGTGTGTGTGTGTGTGTGTGTGTGTGTGTATTATGAACACTATCAATTGAAAGAAACATAAAGTATAAAACTGAGACTTCAGTTGGAATGTTCTCATTGCTATGGCTTCCCTGTAGAAAGTCTCCCCATCTTTCCTGACCATTCACATTACTTTGCATTTGTAGTCACACCACATGTTAACAAATACAGGCTGATTACTAGACAGATACCATTATTCCATGTTACTCTCTCTATTTGCTCCCCTCACTTAAAAAAAGTAATTTTATTCAGTGATGTTACACATCAACACAGCACAGACAACCTTTATTTCTACTAAAGCAGAAAGAGTCCCATGAAAATAGATTATTGATTTTTAAAATTCTTTCAGAGGTGTGCTTTGTAAAAGAAAAGGAAGCAGAGACCATAACATGCTGCAAAACTGTATTTTGTAACTCTTAAATTTTAATTTCCTCTGACTTCCTCTTCTATATCACTTAAAATCCATTCAGGGGGCAGAAGTTTGTATAGTCCAATTCTTGAGCATCAATAGTTGGCAATTACAATCACTGTTTTGTGGAACCCAAATCCTTTCTACACTCACTGACTATGCTCCCGATACAAATCCTCAGGCACTGTATACTCATACAAGTTGAACACAGGACGAGAGCGAGGCAGAATACGGCTGCATTTCCTCCAAAGTGCAGCTTCGTCTTTGTTTGGCTCTGGGCGAGGAAAGCGCTGGTTTACATAGAAGATTCGTGGCACAATCAATCGGATATTATGAAGTTCTTGCCCCACCAAAGCCCAGACTTTAAATACTCCTGATTTATTTGTCTCTGAAAGCTGAATCAAAATTGTATACATCAGTACAAAATGGACTCATTCAAGAAACACTCATACAAATATTTGTACAACTGTAGTGAATGAAATATAACAGTAGATAAAAATTATAACTTAAAATATCACAGAACAGGCTGGTGTAGAGGTAAAGCTCAACTTGTATTTGGGAGGTGCTTCATTGAAATATCAGCTGGGGCACTGGCAATCATGACTGAAGTTTTTCACAGGTTTCCTCAGCCCCCACAGACAAGTGCCATTAGGCCATGGCCTTTTCCGTCCAAATCTTTCCTTAGTCATAATTTATCCAACCACCTGATGCTACAGTCTCAATACTGAAAGCACTGTTAAATCACATATACAAAAGAAACTTAAAATATAAGGATGTGATTGCCCATTACTGTTACCTGTATTATTTGCCATGGTGTATCTAAGAGTGTTCGTTGTGCCCGACGCAAGAATCCTCCAAGGGTACCTGCAGCTGGGTTCCTTCCCATAGCTAGCAAACTTCCAGCCTGTCCATGTCCCTCAACAGAATCTCCGATACGAGTACGTTTCCCAAAACTGTTTCGTTCTGACCTTTGCTTAGCTTGAAGGGCCCATTTCTTTTTATGATACTGCAGCCAAGCCAAACGAGATTCCTGCAATTACAGATTAAATGGAAATTGAGAAGAGATTGAAAACCTATTATATCTGAACATCAGATGCTAAATCTAGAAGACAATGTAATAATCATATCACTATGTCAAAATGATTCCATTCAGCATTCACTAATCTAGAGATCAAAATACTGTTCTCTGTGCAGAGATATTGGGTTTTCAGACTTTATCCATCGTCCTGGTTTTAACATAACCAAGAAAAACACAACGTTTCGGAAACCAGATCTGTTTCCGTCCTCAGGTGAAGGAAAACACCTATTCTGTTGGGTCACTGACTGAGGCTAGCTCTTTCTAAGGGACCCAACAGAATAGGTGTTTTCCCTCACCTGAGGACGGAAACAGATGCAGTTTCCGAAACGTCGTATTTTTCTTAGTTATCTTAAAAACCAGGACGATGGATAAAGTCCGAAAACCCAATATCTCTGTGTGTTATACATCATCATCAGAATCCCATAGTAACTAATTGTTCTCTGTGTGTAGCTGTCCCTACCAAGGACAGTTTTACATTAAAATTGAAATTATTTGCCTTTGACTCTGATAAAGGCACTTCAGTAATAGGTATCACTTACTGTGGTAGGCAGCGGCCTCCGTAGTCTAGGGGTAACGTTCCCACCTCATGACTCAAGGTAGGCGGGTTCAAACCCGGCGGAGGTCGTGGAATTTTTAAGGGCAGAAAAATTCAGGGAACAAGTCCTCCGGGAGGGACTTTAAGCCATGGGTCCCGTGTCTTAGCTTTACGGCACGTAAAAGAACCTCATGTCTC